AACGACATCCAGGGATCCGGGAAGTTCACAGGTTCGGTTGCCCAGAGTACTGTGGGACCACTCAATTAACAGAGAGGGCATGACCGTGTGTGAACACGATTTGCATTTGTCTGAGAGCTTCGTCTGCTCACTGTAGGCAGCTGTGAGTGTGCAGAAGTTAGGGCTGAGAATACCCCACAGTTCCACGGTATACTGGAGGGCCTGCCCCGGGAACAGAGCAACACGTAGGGAGAGGCTCTTGGCATGGGTGTCCACAGAGGATCTGGCTTTAGAAGGTGTGGTCCTCACTGGCAACTATGTGGTGTGGTCTGGGCTTTGTCTTGAACACGGGGCTCCATCCTGTTTCCCAAGACACCCAGCAATTCAATGAGCTTCTTAACAACCTCATTAAAATTTCTTTTCCATTTAAACCAGCCAGGCTGTATTCCGTTGTTTACAATTATGAGCCATGAGAATGAGTTTAGAAGGGTGGATGTAAAGAGATGCCGGGGGGGTGGGGGAGACAGGGCTTTGTCAGGGGTGTTAGAGAGGAACCAGCATGCAGTGATATCCAAGCGGCCATTGGCCAAGTGGGCTGGGAGTGCAGACTTGAGATCATCAATACTTCGGGGGCTGTGAAGTGCACTGGGATGGGTTTGCAACCTCAGGAAAGTCACTAAGGGTGGGAAGAAACATGGGAGACTTCAGAGAACACGTGAGGAGGGCATAGGTGTCCATGCCGAGAGACACAAAAGGACACATGCTGAGGGAAGAGGTATTGGAGGGGGCACTTTAGACATTAGCCTGGTGAAGGTTGAGAGAAGCAGCTTCCTCGAGCGATGGGGACAGGAGTGGGACTGGCCTGGGCCCAGAAGAGGGCACGAGAAGCCCACCCTTTCTATAAACTCACTGAGCAGAGATCTCAGGAAGAGGTGCCAGGGACAGGAGAACAGCCTGGGTTCATCCGTGGGTTCCCAGGAGGAGTTGCACAGTCTGGGTCAGGTGTAGATAACCAGGTTTATCCAGGCTTGTCCAGGTTGCCAGGTTTCTCATTTGTAGGTAGTTGATGTTCTCTGACGCTACTGGAATTCTGTCTCCTCTTTACACGTTTTAGTTATATAATCCAAAAAGTCTTAGTTGTTTGAAACCCAGGAGGTTGTGGGGTGAAAGTTATGTGTGTGGGGAGTCAAACTCTTAGGACTAAAGGGCACTTGGTCCTGAGTTTTAAAAATCTAAGGAGTCCTAAAGACAAGGTGGTATAGGATCATGAGACGTACAACAAGACCAGGACAGCTAAATCCGCAAGGAAATCCTGTCTCAAAAAAAAAAAAAAAAAAAAAAAGAACTTGTCAGAACTGGTCTAGATGCTTTGTTCTAAAATATATCACAGCCACCTCCTAACTGATAGCAACAGCGATACATTGTAAGCCATTTATACAAGCTAGGCCAGAGTTCAGGCTGAAGAAGCAAGGGCGTTAATGAAGGACCCCTTGTGTTTGTAAAGCAGCGACCATGACCTCAAGACTATCTCAGGAGCCTAAACCAGGTCAGGGTTTACACTTGTCAAACCTGTCCTGAAACACGATTAATAAACATCCAGAGACAGAAATTGGGGTTCAACCTGAAGGTCAGAAAAACAAAACAGCCAGCCACTGGCTCTTACCTCTACCTCAGTCCAAAATGGTGATTCTGCCTCCTCCAGCAATCTCAGAATGAGATTGTGTCTGAGAGCTCTCTCCCCCATCTTATATTCCTCTCTAGGCTGGGACTAAAGGTGTGCACCACTGAGATTAGAGGCATGCACCACCTGGTTTCTGTGGCAACTAGTGTGCTAGGGGGATTAAAGTTATGTGTTACCACTGCCTAGTCTGTATGGCTGACCAGGGGGGCTGTTTTTACTTTTTGATCTTCAGGCAAGCTTTATTTACTAAAATACAAATAAAATGCCCCCACACTCTCCTCAGACACACACACACACACACACACACACACACACACACATCCTCCCTCCCTCCCACCTGCCTTCCTCTGTTTCCGCAATCTGCACATATACCCTCTATTTCACACAAACCCTCTACTGCATGCTACCTGCTCCCCACCAGCCTCTATCATGTCTGCAGATGCGTAGAAATTTGCTAAGGGTTTGCCCAATGCACCTCCTCTGCCAGCTCTCTTGTTATAAGGGAACCCATATTTTTAGCGCTGTCCATCACCTCCCCCACCCCCTCCCACTTGCTTCTCACTTCACTCCACCTCCATCTCCTCACCTTGGAGTCCTCCAGGTGCCCAGCCGAGTTCCGCCACTCACCTTTTCACTCCACATCTGTCAGCCACATCGTAGCCCTGATTGCGATAAGAGGGTTACCCTCAGCACATCTGATGCCCTGCCCTGCAGTTTCAGGGTCCGACATGGGGGAGGGCCACAGAGAGTGCTTGGTTAATTGAGTTTCTGAGGAAAGAAGCAATGTCACGTCTTGCTAAAGCTCCCAGGGTCTCTTCTGAGAGTTCTACCAAGTCACAAGCCGTCCCTCAAGCCTCATGCTTCAAGCAGTCTCTTCTTCAAGCCCTGCCACCCAAGGGGAAGAGCACACTTTCAGTCAGTGCCACAGAGTTCCCTGTGACAGTTTCCTCATGGTAATTGTGCCTTCTGGGAAGGAACTAGGGGAGTTGGTGAGAACTGGAGGGCCTCAGAAAACTGGGTCTTGGGGGCTGGAGAGGTGGCTCAGTGGTTAAGATCCCTGACTGCTCTTCCAAAGGTCCGGAGTTCAATTCCCAGCACCCACATGGTGGCTCACAACCATCTGTAATGAGATTTGGTGCCCTCTTCTGGCCTGCAAGCAGATATGCAGGCAAAACACTGTATACATAATAAATAAATAAATCTTTAAAAAAAAAAGAAAAAAAAAAAGAAAACTGGGTCTCCAAGGATTAGCAGTATCCTCAAGTTTGTGATACTAGCAAGTAATCAGGTTCAAAGTTGGTGTGTTTGCCTGGGGCAGTGCTGGTGACCAGCCATGGTGTCCAGGCCCACTGGGATTCTTTTCTCACTGGTCATGGATGCCGGCTGACATTTCTGTGTGAGAATCCTATTTCCACAAGATGCTTTGAGAAAATGACATTGTGGATGAATGGACCACAGATGGTGTTTTTCCACTTAATGTTTCCTATGCCAACATGAAGGGCTCTGGAAAATTCTGCAGAAAGAAACTCGTTAGGTAGGTGTATTCAGTGTTCCCCAAGTGTCTGACCATGGAAAACAATTGTCTATGTAATACCCATAGACTGAGTACCTTGTCTCTGAAATCCTTGAGATCTGCGGTGTCCTAGGTTTGAGGGTCACCTTCCCAATTCGGGATATTTACATATACCCAATGGTACATCTTGGATGGGGCATAAGTCTAAACTTGAATTCTGTCTGTGTCACGAGCACCTTATCCACATAGCCTAAAGTCAAGTTTCAGTATTTTAAGTGACTTCTTGTGCATGCAGCAAGGCTCCACTGTGTAGAATTCTCCACATGCCACATTGTGTCAGGAAGTCCTCCATCTTGGAGATGTCTAGATTTTAGAGCTTTGGGTTAGGTATGCTCGCCCTGTATTACCATACTAGAAAGCACACCTTGGAAAAAAATAGCTTTGATTATTGTACAGAGAAGATGGATGGTCCAACAAAGGATCCAACCGTGTCTCTCTGGTCTGTCAGTAGGTCGGGACCAGGGGCTTCCCTTCAGAGAGGACGGCTATGCTCAGAGTCACCTTCCCATCCACCTGCCATCTGAGACCACTGTGTGTTTGCTCACGGATAAGGCTACTCTCATGCTCCCCCATGCTACAGGAAGAACACCAACATGGCTTCTTTCGGCCACAGCCTAGCCCAAGTTCACGTCTCTATAGGATACTGTCAGGGTGGAGCCTGTGTGCTTCCTTATCTTCTGTTCTTGGTTCCTGTACCAGGGATGTTTGTTGCTTGTATGAGTTAACCTTTCCACCGCTGATGGAAGCAACTGAAAGGAAGGCGGTTTTATTTTGGCTCACAGTGTGGGTGCGCAGCCCATGATGAAAGGGAGATCACAGAGGCAGGAGCACTAGGTGGTAGGTGACAAAGCACAGGGAGGTGAAAACTGGTGAAAACCAGTGCTCAACTGGTTTTGTCATTGGTCTGAGTCTGTAGCTCATGGAACGGTCCTCACAACCATGGTGGATCTACCCTCCTTGATTTCCTTTTTCTGGAACAGTCCTCAGGGACATACCCAGAGGTGCGTTTCCATAGTGATTCTGAACCCAATCAATTAGACAGCGAAGACTTACCAGCCCTCAGGTATTTGTCTACAGCCCGTTAGAGAGCAGACCTGCCTGTGTATCGTGAGGAGGAGTAACATCGTGGATGTATTTTTTCCTTGCTGTGTTCTGTCTCCACTTTGGGAATTTTAACCTTTTAGAGGTCAGGAAGAGATGCCTCCTCAAACTCCGTCTTCTCAGCCACCTCTGTGCTGAATCCAGAAGAAATGCCGACTCAAAGCTTGACCGTTTGAGTGTAAGAGCATAAACACTCCTGTAGGCTGCATGGCTCAGTGTGGGTGAGAGGAAATCAACTCTGCAAATCTCTTAATTCATTACTAAAGCCATTCCCCTGACCCAAGCAGCGAAGAATGATGCAGAGACAGAAATGGATAGCAAGTGAATTGCATTCAACTGTCGGAAGCGTGGTGCTCCCGGAAGAGTTAGAGCAACTGTCAAAGTCCCCCGATGTGTCCATTTTTATCAGTTCTGACGGTGATGCGATGTCGTTAGAGAATCAGGTCTCATCTTTGCTTCTGAGCTCATCTGAATAATGCAAGCGAGGGGAGGGAAGAGCGGGATGAGGCATCCAGAGGCAGCCCTGGACCCGACTGTATAAATTTGAAAGAGGTAAGGGCGGGACAGCCTGGCCTTCTCAGCTTGCCCAGTACAAGGCAGGGTGGAAGGAGGTGAGAGGCATCGGAGTGAGCCTTCACTCGGAGTTTGTCTTCACCCCAGCTGATCATGAGAGGTACCGTGCAAGTGTTCCTCGTGTTCCTTCTAGCAACTGTGTCCCACTGTGCGGTGATCACAGGGGTAAGTTTCTAGTCTCTTCCATAGGCTTGGGTTGGGGGCCGAGATCAGGGTTCTGCACGGACTGTGAACTGAGAACCAGGAAGGCACTGCTGCTCCAATTCAAAGCAATGGGATTTGGAGGTGGTCAGTGCCTGGGAGTGGGGATACATATAATCTTCAGATGGGTCAGACTTCACTCTGATAGACAGAGTGGGGTTTTGAGAAGTTGTATTTAAATATAAGATTGTTTTAAGTACGTTGGGAGGGCACTGGGATTTTGACATTGAGTCTTTAGTACAATGAAGATTCTTTGGAGCGTGCCGTAGGAAGTTCTTTTACAAGGTGGATTCATTCCCCCTTCCAAGTCCCACATGTCTTGTGTACACCTTGGCTTTAATCTACGTCTGGCCCTCTTGCCCATGTTATTCCAGAGCGTGCTGGTGAGGCTCAGGGCAGAAGCGCAGAGTCCTGCATCAGGTCTACTTTTGCTGTTAGGAAAAGTATGCCAAACACCCTTTATCCTTTAGTGGGTCCCTAGGGCAAGATGGGTGCCACCAACACCTCCTTTCACCCTTTAGTGGGTCCCCAGGGGAAGATGCAGAGAGGTCTAAGGGAGGTGGGGTACCCCTTAATAAAGAGCACAACGAGAGGAGGGTCGAGTTAGTCCAGCGCAGTGAATGAATGGGGGTGAATTAATGGCCAGATGAGCACTTGGTCAGAACAGTGTTGAGGGGAAGGATTCTGGGAGTGCTCAGCTCCCCCTATTTCCCAAGTCCCTTTGATGTCCCTCTTCTGCCTCCCAGAAAGACACCAGGTCCTTGAAAAAGTTTTTACGACCCAACAAACATCTCCGCCCATGCAATAATCCAAATCAGACCAAATCCAACCAAATTAGAAAAAGCCCAGGTTTAATGGATGCCAGTGTTCCCGGGTGGCCCCCCATGGATGGAGACAGGAAGGAAGACCGGATAAACCATGGGGAGGGGAAAGGAAGACTGGGAAGACCATGCGTTCGTTCTCTGGGTGGCAGTTTAAGTAGCCTGTGGGAATGGTCTTGAGCCTCTCTGGGGAGGGGTCACCCCTTGGTGGGCTTTCTTGGAGGTGGAGTTTGGACTGCAGCAACTCTCAGGGCAAGGGGCTTGGGATGGAAAGTTTCACCCAAACATTTCAGACTCCTTGGATATAGGGGCGCTCAAGGGCTGGGGTGAAGCCTGGATCCAAACATTCCAGACTCTTTGGGTATAAGGATGTTAGGGGCTTAGGTGACGCTTTCAACCAAACAGTCCTGATCTCTCCACACTCCCTTGCACCTTAGATGATGACAATCCAGGCTGTAGGTTCCAACCTCCCAGAGTGCCATGCCTGCCACCTGTCAGGAGAGAAGAGTCCGGGAGGGACCTACTTCCCTCACCATCAGTGCTCAGGGTGCTGGCTTAGGTGTGAGCCGTGCCCCCGTGCCCCTGCTGGGTTAGAGAGTAACTGCTGGTGACTGCCACCTGTACCTTCTCTGGTGGCATCCTGACCTCCTCACCTGGAAAAATCTGGAGCTTTGGGCTCCTGTCATGGCCCACGCTGGCAGCCTGAAGGTGTTCTGTGGCTTCCTACTGGAGAAAACGAAACTCAGCTTCCAACTTCAACTCTGAAGCCACTTGACCTCTGTGCCCTGTGGCCAGGTTGGCTATTTCTCCATTAGGCCCTACTTGCTTTCTTGACTCTGGCTCTGGGGTAAAGTGTGTTTGTTTGACATTTCCTTATATAGGCATTAACCAAGCAGCCCAAATCAGAAGGATCTGTGTCAGGAGCCCAGAGAGGCCAGCAGAGAAACATTGGGGGAGATACCTGTCCACCAGGCTCCTGTGGGTTAGGTGGTGGGAGATGGGCAGAGAGGCAACTGATAATGCCTTCTGGAGGACAAAGATTCTCCCCCGAGATAACTCAACAATGGTCATTCAGGGCTTTGGACCAACAAGGATTCCCTCCCCTCCCCTCTCCTCCCCTCCCCTCTCCTCCCCTCCCCTCTTCTCCCCTTCCCAGGGAGTTCTAATTCAGTCATTTGTGCTGCTGTTGACTGATATTCGAAAAGCCAGTCTTTTAACAGGCCTTTTCGGGGGTGGGGACTGCCTTGCCTCTGAGTTGGGCTGGTTCCCCAGGTTGAGGTCGGGTACTTTGCTAAGACCAAGTGTCCTGCCAAGCAGTGGTGTTTCAGCCGTGAGTCCTGTTAATCCTGGGCTCTTAGTCACTTCCTCCAGACCCTGCCAAAGATGGCTTAGCATTCCTTTTCCTTTTTCCCTTGGGTGGCACTAACTGGCTGGCCCTCTCTCTCTCCCGTAGGCCTGTGAACGAGATGTCCAGTGTGGAGCAGGCACCTGCTGTGCTATCAGCCTGTGGCTGCGGGGGCTGCGGTTGTGCACCCCACTGGGTCGGGAAGGAGAGGAATGCCACCCAGGAAGCCACAAGGTACTCTGCTGGCACTGAGTGGGCATGCGTGTGAACGAGTAAGGGCATGCGTGTGAACGAGCATGGTCATGCGTGTGAAGGGGCATTGGCAAGCAGGCAGGGATCTTGGAGCCTGGATCCAGCTTAGACCAGGGAGTCTGTGGCTTCTGATGATGCTATGCAGAAGACTAATATTGTGCCCTTCCTAGTGGATGCAGCCTGACCCAAGGAAGGAAAGCAGACAGCCCTGGGGTTGCCGCTCCAGGCAGCAGCCTTACCTAGGCCTGTAGATACTGTTTGGACACTGTTTTGGTGACATTGTCCACTTGCACCCTTCTAGACAGGCTGGAGACAGTTATGGTTTGACCTTTAAAGCATTCCTGGGTTTTCATTAGCAAGCTGAGGAACTACAGCAGATCATGTGACTTGCTCAAGGAGCCGTCCTGAGACAGCTGGGACTAGAATGGAGTTTTCTGAAGTCAACCAGAGTCCTAGGCTGCTGGTAAAGGGTACAGCGTCCTTGTTTTTGTGGGATGGTGACACCAATCGCACAGGCTGCTAGCCCTTCAGGCCGGCCACCCTTAGCTGTTGTGTTTAATGGGAGCAGGATAGTTAACCCTGAAGAGATAGATTTCAAAAGATTCTCAAATACCCTTTGCTTTTTGGAACAGAATCCAAGAACATAAAATGGCCTCCTATAAGGGGTTGAGGCTAGAGCCCCTGAGGGCACAGAGCAGCCAAGAGGCTCTTGGCTTTGGGAGGGTGCAAATTGTAGCCTCTGGAGGGTGGGGCCACTAAAAGGGTAGCAGTGCTGGACCTACAGCCACACCCAGTTCCCCTTAGCAGTCTTTCGGGGTCTGTGACTCGTCTGTACATGCTCCAGTGCTCCTCTGGAGTCGGGGATCTTCCAGCCCCTCTTCCAATTTCCCTCAAGGCCACTGATTTGTCCTTAACCACCTCAGGCTCAGGAAGCTGAAAGCTGAACGGCTCTGCCACCCTCATTGCCTCGGGCTATGAAAGATGGCTCAGAATGATTCACGCTCCTGATAAAGACATCAGCATTAACCAAAAACAAATGCCGAGCACTTCCTACAGGCCGTTTGTCCTCAGTAAGTTTTCAATAAGTAAATGGTCTTAGTCTTTTTATAGCTATATAGTCAGATAGGAGCTATTAACCCATTTTATAGATTATAAAATCAAAGCACAGCCAGGGTAAATAGGTAGTCAGTTGTCACAAATATGGTAAACAGAAGGTCTGGGATTTGAACCCAGGTAGTCTGGACCAAGCCTCCTTATCACTCTATTTAAAACCCTCTGGGGGCTGGTGAGTTGATTCAGGAGGTAAAAGCACTTGCTATGAAAATGCGGTGCTGGAGTTTGATTCCTGGAGCATATATAAAGGTGGAAGGACACAACAGACTTCCCAAGTTGTCCTCCGATCTCCACAGGCATGCTCTCCCTCACACATATAACACAGGTATAAACAAATATCCTTTCAAATACCGAGGGAACCTTGGGTGTCCAGCGGTGCTCTTTGATGTGAGCCACTGGATAGAGAGGGTGTTTGTCCCTTCACAGCTATCTGTAGGCCCTGTCCTCAGAGCTGAGGACGCCAGGGGGTAAGCAGAGAGATTCAGTTACCAGAGCTGTGAGAGTGTTTGCAATCGTGTGTGTGTGTGTGTGTGTGTGTGTGTGTGTGTGTG